GGGTACGGAGGAAAAGAGAGAGGGTTTTGTTTTCTGACACTTTGTGAGCTCCCTGACACACTGGGGACACATATTTATGTATAAAAGACATCAAAAAGTGAATTTTGCATAATAGGTCCCCTTTAAGTTATTTAAACTGATAATGTACATTTACTGACAGACGGCAGATGTGAAGATTTCCACATTTTGTATCAATAAGGTCTGACAAGATTACAATTTGAATAAACATTTGCATCTTTCAGTAGTGTTTTTTTTTAGTCGGGGAAAAAATAAGAAGCAATAATAGCTCTTATGGCATGTTATGGTATAACCTTGCACACCAGACAAAGCGTTCAGTGGTGTACTCGTATGTTACATGTTTAGATAATTTGCCATCATATTAAATATGAAGTCACTCCCATGCTCCTATCACATGTTTGTCCCTCACTCTTAAACTGTGTGAGCCAAAGAAACTCATGTTCATGTAAGTTTTGACTATATTCCTGGAAAAAATATGGATTTCGGGAATTTTTTATTCAACCAGAAGATATCAGCCTAAAGCAGAGTGCACTGTTTAAAACTTAGTAACACCTTAGCTAGTTGTTGCTAGTTAGCTCTGTGTGGGATGTAACTTGAGCCTGCTAATCGAAGGGTTAAATTCCCCTTTCTATATTAAAAGGTGAACTGTAATACAAAATGCACTTTTGTACGTCTTTTATACATGAATATGTGTCCCCGGTGTTCCAGGGAACTCACCAAGTATCAGAAAACACAACCCTGTCTATTTTCCTCGATACCCAAATCTCTTAAAAAGGGGCTGCAACGGATCTGATACAGACTGATCCAGATTTGAAAACTTCTAGGACGTCACAGAAGTGGCGCTACGGCTATTGGGCCAACTCCACCAATCAGGAGGAGACAGCCACGGACATTGCCGTTCGAAAGCGCTGGAGACGCTGTAGTATATATGCCAGGCCTGTAGATGGTGCTGTTCTCACAGAATCAGCCCATGCAAAGACCGTGTTAAATTGAGCGAAATGAGGAATGGCTAAAATGCATGATCTGTTTGGTATTTTGAAAAATAAAAAGTATAAATATGCCTTATATAGGTATGGTCCTACACTATATTATTCAAATATAGCATGATAGGTCCACTTTATGTATTTATTATAAAACAATTAATGTGACTGAGTTGATCACTGTAATCATTAAACCCACATTGTGTGCTTGAATAACTTCTTAAAAGGGAAAACATGCTAGCTAGCTAACTCACAACATGGGACACTTCACACTGTATGTGACAAATTAAAGAGAGCGTCTGCCAATGATATGTTAAACGTTTGTTTCTATCTGCACATGACATAGTGAATAAGCCTGAGCAGATAACCCCTATAGTGAGGTTAAAAAATGAGGCGACATTTTAGTGTAATAAGCAAAATAAGCTTCCCTTTTACTTCACACATTACTGTTACTCTTTGATGTATGACTATTTCCCCCCGAAGAGCTAGAATTCCAAGACATTTTCATTGTGTTTCCCACAACAAACCATGACATGCTAATCGATACATTGATATATATATATATCATATATATGTATATATATATATCATATATATATTGATATTGATACATTGATGCTGGTTTGGGGCTCTTTCACAGGAGATAAATCCATTTGGAAGAGATTCCTTTGTTAGCTTATTTATATATAAGATTATTGCCTGTTAAATCTGGGTTTACCTGATTTTTTGGACTTCTTCTCTTGGACGAACTTCTCCTGCTCTTTTTGAAAGTCTCCTAGGAAAGTCTGCAAATACACAAGTGTAACACACAGATGCACATTACATGTAGGTTAAGGACTGGGGGGGGGGCTGATGTAGGGTATAACACAATATATGTTTTTAATCACCATCACTGTGTCAACTTCCACAATAACCACAATTTAAATATTGCAACAATGCATGAAACTACATGATTCTGTTCATAGTTGTTATTTGGTCTAAAATGTGTCATGCCGTTAACTATTGCAGACCGCAGACTAGTGTATTTTGGATTATTGCAGAAAATAAGATGTTTGGTAAACTAACGTTTATGATATTTTCATATTTTGTTCAGCAGGAATATCTCTAGGTTTCAGGACTCATTCCTGCACCATTAAATAAAATAAGGTTGGAAATATTTTCCTTTCATTTTTTTTCTACAATCAATTGGTTGTTTTTAGCAGTATACTGGAGCAGCAGAAAGGCAGAGCTGAGTACACTTAAATATCTGCTCCTGCTGTTTATATTGTGCAGCGCTTTATCATGTTAAAGAGGTCACTATCATGCTTTTTGGGTACTCCCTCTCCTGTGCTGTGTTTTATAGTTTTGTGTGCCTGTAAATGGTCGGCAAAGTCTAAAATCCCTGTGTTACCTCCAGAGGGAGTTTCTCTCCCCCACCCCCCTGCCTGAAACACCTCCATTGGACTCCTTTGTTTACTTATTTAACATAGTGACATCACTGTAACACTCGTGCTTCTATTGGCTAGCGCTCCAACACATTGTACGTGATAGGCGATTGACCAATCACAACAGATCAGCTAACCAATCAGAGCAGACTGGGCTCTGGCTTCAGACAGAGGGTGAAAAGAGGTACTGCAGCAACAATGAAGAGCTTTACACATTTCACAGTAGAGGCACAAACATAAACCTGAAAATTAGCATAATAGGGCCCCTTTAAGCAAGTTGCTGTACTTGACAACAAGTAACCCCTTCCACAAAGTTGTGTTCTACATGCTTTTAAACTTGTCAAACCAGAAACAACTGCAACATGCCTTGTCTATGATGCCGTCGATCTTCCCCTCTTCCACACTCTTCTTGATGGTCTGAGCTGTCTCCACCACAGACTCTGAGATCTTCTTGGTGGCACTGGAAGCAAAACTGAAAATGTAATCTTCAGGAGGAGAAATTAAATTAGAAGTTAGCATGGGTGTCAAAATCATCATCCTGTGGGGCTATTGCTAAACAAATATCTACAACTACAACAACAACAACACAAGAGACATAAGTAAGACAGATACCTCCTTAGGTAGGGAGGTATTTTGAGCTTTACACCACTTCTTATTTGCTTCTATTTTGTTTTTTTGTATTAATATTTCTCTATATTTTAATGTTAGAATAGTTCTTTTTTATTATTATTATTATAACTATTTTATATTATATAATTATTTTTAGGTGGTTTTTCTTACAATAGATCTTCTTTAACTGTGTTTATGTATGCACTACATAGCCTACATACATGTGTAAACCTACTTGTCAATAAACCTGATTCTGATATTTTGCTGAAATCCGTTTTCGCTGATGTGTATTGGAGCTTAAAGAACCGTGACATTTAACTGGTTTATTTTGTGTTTTAAATAAATTATATGAAGGGTTAACATTGAACAAAGAACCGTTGTATAACTTCATTTCTGTATGACGTGTTAAGAGACTGACAGATAACAGGCACGGTAGATGGCCAGCAAATGCTAGAGCTAATTACCTAGCCTAATCGCAAACACAGCAATGAAACGTATGTATTTCTCACCGCTGAGTCCTTTTTCGTGCACAGAGTCTTCTTGGTTGGCCTCTGGTTCTCCCTGGTCAGCTGCTTGCTGTTTGTTTACTTCGTTTTGTGCCTCCACCACCTTTTCTTCCTGCTCCACTGTCAGGGCTTCTTGGTCGTCCGACGTCTTGCTGTACGTCTGGTTCTCCAACCCCAACCACGACCCGAAACCTTTAAACATGTTGGTCGAATAAAGCGGCCGTGAAGCTTAAAGATAAGAACAACAACACTCAGAAAAAATAGGAGGATTCTTGACTTTATGCAGCCAGGAACTAAACCGACAGGTTTTCTTCTTCTCTGTTTTCTTTGATTCTTTGTAGATATGTAGGCTGTTTGATACTGCCGCCCAGTGGGCAAAAGGGGGAAATTATGCATTCAAGTGTCGCCTGTGTCAATGGGTAAAATATATGCAGTGGATCTAAATGTGAAATGCCGACATAAATGTAACACCCTGGCCTGGCATCATGACATTTGTATGAACAAAGTATTATCAAAAGAGTTTATCAATCAATCTAATGGGTTTTCTGTCGATGATTAAAATGTTTTGGGCACGAAAATCCAAATGTGTACAGTTATTGAAGCTGTAACATAATTGTGGTGCAGTAAAGAGTACAATGTTTCTATTAAGTGGCATGAAAAAGAAGACTCCAGTAAAACATAAGTACCTCAAATGTGTACAGCAGCCTACTTGATTACATGTAGTTACATTATTTTGGCAGCATTATTACACAGTTGCAAACTATAACACTATTACAAAGATAGCCTAAGTATAATTTCTTAAAGTCTGGTAGTTTTACATGGATGGGATATTTATATATAGCCAAGAGTCTGAGGTAATTACGGGAACTGCTGCTATAATAACAGCAAGTCATTTTAAAAGCGGCCCTTCACCAGCAGGAGGCGGTAATGAGACCAGATCAAGTTCACATCGTGTGTAGTGCGACAGACAAGAAGACAGGGAGGAAGTCAGAGCCGTGGACCGATGTCATACAAACTCAGGTCAGTTTCATCACAGTTTTATCCAACATTATGCATTTTACGTATGTGAACGGGATAGATAGTGTAGTACAACAACTATCGATACCCCTGTTTTCCCCCTGAGCTGGAACTTGATAGCTGGAGCAGAATATTAATAGAGGGGTTAGCAGAGAGGCTAGGCCGATGACTTGTAAGGAGGCGAAGTTTCACCAGACCTCTAATAAAAACGCGTCATTTAAAACACAATGTGTTTTTCATTCATCTTATACATTTATTAGAAAATAACTTACACCATATTAGGGTTGATACAGAACCTGTGGTTCAGTCGGCATATAATAGTTTAGCGATTTATTGAAGTTGTTTGGTACAGTCACAGTTTGTGCTTATGGAAGATAAGGTGGCAGTGCAACAAATAATGTTGTTAACTGACCAAACCCTAGTGTCATGACCGAGGAAACTTGTGTAGTACAACTATACTATAATAATAATAATAATAATAATAATAATATCTTCTTCACTTCTTGTACAATTTTCTATATCTGACCCAATGTTTTATTTCAGCTGAAAAATGAAGACTCTGATGGTGTTTGACTTTGACCACACTGTGGTTGATGACAACAGTGACACTTGGGTGATAAGGTAAATAATATGATTTAATGAATTTATGAATCAATACAAAAATTCATTACAAAAACAGGTTTGGTAGTATTTTTTATACTCCTGCAAAATGTATACAAATGTTTGACTATTCACTGACGGGTTCAAGATACAGTTAAAATATGCAGAGGAAATATTCATTCATATATTTTAATATCAAGCAACAATGTTATCCACTGTGGATCTTTCCTGTTTTTACTCTCCACAGAAGCCTTCCCTCTCAGACTCTTCCTGACTCTGTAAAGAAATCCTACAGAAAAGGCCACTGGACTGAGTTCATGGGCAGAGTGATGAAGTACATAGGTGAGCATTTACTATCCTGTTTGCTGGCAACTCATTCATTCATACAACTAGAGAGCTGCTAAACATATTTGATCAATAAACTTTTATTTCGACTTTCAACCTATGGAAGCCGTTTTCTGACAATGTGAGAAAAAAAACCCTGTAGGTAATTTTAAGGATAAATGTCTTAGTACCTTCAAATATTGCTTTAGTATCTCAAATAATAATTTAATTTGTCAAAAATATTGACTTAATGTATCATATTTGTGAAATACTTACACAAAACCATTACTTTGTATCTCAAATGTATGAACTCCTATTGCAATATAGTGACTAAATGATGCTATATTTCCAAGTAATGGTTTATCCTCTCTAAATAATTACTTGAAATATCCCCAAAAATATAGTAATTGCAAAATAGTGACTTAGTATCTCATAGTAAAGAGGAACTTACTCAAAACATTGACTTAATATCCTTAAATAAGAGTGTATAAAGTCATTTTTCCCCCCGATACTCGATCATTATTTTGAAATAAATGTCTGATTATTTTGAGATATTAAGTCAGTATTTTGAGATATTAAGTTATTGTTATTTAAAGATGTTTGGCATTTTTTTCCATCACAATGCTACGTTTTCAATTATTTTTGACTGGTAGAAATGTGCTTCCATACAGACCGTTACATCTCAGCTCTCTGATCATTTTTCTGTCCGTCCAACCAGGAGAGCAGGAGGTCAGCCCCGACAGCATCCGCAGCGTTATGGAGACCATCCCCTTCACAGCTGGGATGAAAGACTTGCTGACCTTCATTTCAGAGCATAAAAGCACCATTGACTGTATAGTCATCTCTGACTCCAACTCCTTGTTCATAGACTGGATCATCCAGGCATCCGGATTCCACGCTGCCATCGATCAGGTTTACACCAACCCAGCTAAGTTCAACGAGCTCGGGTACATGGAGGTGCAGAACTACCACTCTCATGACTGTGATCAATGCTCCGTAAACCTCTGCAAGAAAAAGGTTCTGGAAGTGTATCTGTCAGAGCAGTCCGATAGAGGGGTAGAGTACGAGAAGGTATTTTACTCAGGGGATGGCAGGAATGATTTCTGCCCCACTTCCTGTCTGAGAGGGAATGATTTTGTGATGCCCAGGAAGGGGTACACCCTGGAGAAACTGCTGGTCACACTGCAAGATCAGAAAGATAACTCTTCTCTGAGAGCTAAAGTCATAGCCTGGAGCAGTGGCACTGACATCCTCGAGGAACTGAAAGCAAGTATCAAGTTTTAGCCATGAAGTACAAAACTTGGTCCAATCCTAAGTGGTAGCACTAATGGAAAAAATTGAGTCTGTACTGTAGAGGGGACATGCTGCTCCCCATAATTGTTGGATTTTTGTTTTTCAAATTGTTGAGAAAGTAGTACAATTCTGTTTCTAAAATGTTTTCAATCATGATTAAAACCCTTGAGATGTGGTTTTTACTTTGAAGAACAGTAATTACCAGTTGAACAAGATTAGACTCGAAAAAATACATTACAAAATCAATGTTTACATTGAACTGAAATTTAGTGATCAAGGTTTACAAAAAAAAAACCTGTTCGAGACACTGGGTTAACTTGCAACTAAGTCTTGAACTTTCCCATCAAATGAAGGATACAGTTAGAGTTAGAGCAGAAATACATTTAGCAGATAGGGCTGCTGTTTAATGGCAACTGGTGCTGAATAAAAGTATACATTTTACATTTTCTAAAATCACCTTTTTTAATGTTAAGTCTTTTCTTATTTCAGATGGAGTCAAGCTAGCCAATTCCCTGTGCTCTCAGTCTTCGTGCTACGCTAAGCTAATGGATCTCCATTTGGATGATCGACATTGTAGAAGTACCAAACTTCTCTTTCAACTTTTGGCAAATAAGTATATTTTTCCGCCCACAAAAATCCCTTGAAGCCAGCAAGAGTAAGGTACTTAAAAAACTCAGGGCCGCCCCTCCCTACACGCAGAACACGTGCAGTGCGTAGGGCCTCATCTTA